TTGAATGAGGTGTTTTACGATACATCAAAAGAAATTTATTTAATTGGGATTGTGCAAACGAGCATTTTTTATCGTTTTGACAGCTGATTCCGCACAGCCGTTTGATTCTGGGTGAAATGGAGCGCCTGTCATAATACTCGTATGCCTTATGCCTAGATATTTGTAATTTACTTGAAATTCAAAATCTGTAAAACATTTTTCACCATCTGATGTAATTGTTTTTGGAATTCCAAATCGTGCTATCGTTTCTGGAAATTTTTGAATAACAATTACAATTTCTGCAGTCATAGAATTTACTTGAAATACTTCTAACCATTTTGAGATTGCGTCAACAATGACAAAAAAAATATTTATTTTGAAATGGTCCAAGAAAATCACAATGCACTCTATTCCACGATTTTTCTGGCCATTTCCAAGGCGATGTCACAGATTTTGATGGGTTTGGGTTTTGCCTGACATTAATACAATTATCGCAACTTTGCGCGATATTTTCGATTTCTTTGTCCATTCCTGGCCACCAAAAGTATGATCTTGCTAAATTTTTCATGCTGGAAGAACCCATATGACATGCATGAAGTTTCTTTAGTATATTATTTCGAAATACGGTAACCCAATAATAGGCATCCCTGTTCCACTGCAATTTGAGTCTTCGTAAATTATATGAATCAAGTTCTAAATTGTTAGAAAAATCACTATTCCATTTTCCTGTTTTGATTGCATTTAATACTTTGGCGAGAATTGTGTCTCTACTTGTTTCTATTTTTATTTCAGACCAGTCTAATGTGAAAGGTGATTGTTCGACGTTCGTGAATAAAATAAAGAYTAATACATTCTTCATTATGATTTTCAATTTTTAATTTTGAACCTATTCGTGGTAAAAAATCGGCTGTTTTATCTTTGGATTTTACATACATATTTTATGTCGAAATGAAATGATGATAAAACATAGGCCCATCGTTGTCAAGGTTTATAGAATCTTCAATCTATAAACCTTGCATCGTTGTAACATATTAGCCGCGTAAATTGGGATACCTTTCTTATCAACGAAAATATATATTAACGGTTTATGGTCGGTTTCTAATAGAAAATGCCTACCATATAGTCATAATATTTCGTAACACCGTAAATGGCGTAAATAATTGTCAAAGCTTCTTTTTCAATTTGTGGAAATATATATTCTGACTCGGATAGAACTCTTGATGCTTATGCAATAGGTTTTTCTGTACAATCTAGGTACACATGGGAAAGAACTGCGCCTAGTGAATTCGATGATGAGTCTACAACGAGTTTAATCGGAATATTCAATATTATGATCATAATGTGCCAATACGGGTTACGTATTAGGTTTGTAAAATTTAGGTACCACCCCAGCTTTGATATTTAATGAAATTTCGTATTAGTTAAAAGTGCCTATTTCATTATATATTCATCTTTATGTGAAGGTGACTTCCCAGATATTTGGAAGATTAGTACAGTTACTCCGATTTTTAAGAAAGATGACGAAAGTGATGTCATTAATTACATACCTATTAGTATTATTAATCATCTTGTCAAACTACTTGAGTCTTTAGTTTTGAAGTCCATTCAAAGGCCTGTCAATTGTATCATTATCGATGAGCAACACGGTTTTCGTCCAGGGCGGTCAGTTACAACCTGCAATTTAATTTTTACTGAGTATGTCCTTGAGGCTCTTAACAAACAATTACAGGTCGATTCCATTTATTTGAACATCGCCAAGGCCTTTGACCACGTTAATCATCATACTCTGCTTAGTGTTTTGTCACATCTCGGGTTTGGTGAACCTTTAATGTCATGGTTCCGTTCCTATTTATCTGAGAGGAAACAGCTAGTCAAGATTAACGTTTTTTTTCCAGTTCAATCAATGTCACTCCGGTGTTCCTCAAGGAGGGCATCTCTCACCTGTTCATTTTGCTCTTTTTATTAATAGTATCAAAGATGTGATTAAACACAGTGAGCTCCTTATCTTTCCCGATGATATTAAGCTTTTACTCCGTATTTCCATCACTGATGATTGTAAGCAGTTGCAATTTGATCTAAATGCAATCGCTCGATGGGCCCAAGGACTTGGTTTGGAGCTTAGTATCCCTAAATATCATACCATGACCTTCACTCGTTCCAATGAGCTRATCTTGTTTAAGTACTCTATCAACGATATTGCTCTTACGCATTCTGGCGATTGTATTRTAGACTTTGGTATTTCTTTTGATCGGTTTCTTAATTTTCAGACTCATATTGAGAAAGTTACATGCAAGGCKCTGAAATTTCTCGGATTTGTTAAAAGAATTTCTGGTGAGTTTAGATTGTCTAGTTCTCTGAGAACCTTGTACTGCTCTTTCATTCGATCTGAGTTGGAGTATGGTATAATTATCTGGGAACCATGCATCATTGATGGTACCTAGTTATCAACTTGAAAGAGTTCATAGTACATTTTTTAAATTTGCCGCTTTTGCTTTAGGTATTGAGTACGCACCTCATGATTATGAACCAGTATTGTAGCGTCTACGTTTGTTTACCCTATGTGATAGGAGAAAATAGGGCAACCTTACGCCCCTTTCTAAACTTATTAATGGTTAAGTTGATGCCCCTGTCCTCATATCCAAAGTTAATTTCAGAGTTYCTGCATWTTGTTCCAGATCCTCTTTCTCATTTCATATTCCTTTTAGCCGCTGTAATTATTTAACTAATCGCCCTATTGTTCGTATGATAAAACTGCCCAATGAGGACCCACAATTCTTTAGTATTTAGTCTACTTACTGTATTTCATTCGAAAATATGTGWAATTTTTTCTTGTGAATTATTGTCAGCAAAATTAATGTAATTGGGCTCACCCCGTATTCAATATAAATAAATAAACAAATAAATAAATATCATGTGTAAATCCTTCCTGTAATGATATTATTTTTCTTGAATCTATTTCAGTAATTATCTACTATTAACAGCAAAATATATTTGTTATCTTTTTAGAATAATATTAATGATACTATTTTTATTCTGGTGTTCAGTAGTATTATTCCATTAATTCTAAAATTTGTTCTCTTATTTTTTTTTCTTTAATCATGTATAATATTATTTGGTATCATATAATTTTATCAATTATTATATTAATCATATTTGTTATCATGGATATACTTTTAATTAGATAGTAATTTAAAAATGTACCTGTAAATTGTAGTGAGAAATATATCGGGTAACTCTGATGCTAAAGGTCCATCACAATGAGGTAATGGAATATTAGAATAATCAGCTAACTCATCTGTGATACTGATAGGACCACAAGAAGGTGGTTCCATTGATTGGGCAAATATTGTTTCTCTTGCCAAAGTATTAAACTGAGTGGATGCTGTGGTTAATAAATGTAATGTACTCACATTATCTCCTATTATAATTGCTTGACTTGAAGGAGATACATCCATAGAAAGGGCCATTGCTCCTTCTTCAGCACCTCTCATCTAATTTGAAATCAAATATTATTAATATTTACTATAAAAACAGTATTCTAATTGAAACATAAGAATATTATTTTGACAAACAAAATATAAAGTAATATTAATATAAAAATAGTACCTGATAAAGATTCATATTTTGTTCCGTCAAAGCAACTGTATCAACAAGTTGGCATTGTCCTATTGTTGATACAACTGCAATGCGTGATGAGTATGAAGTCATGAATCTTAATAAAAATGGTTCAATAATCATAGGAATAGAAGAAACAGATCTCATCATTCTTAAATCGTGTACAGCTAAAAATTGATCTAGCTCCATGGATCCATGTCTAATATCATAAATAAAATTAGTAATAATTGTCAAAATTAAAAAGTAACATTTTTTTTACTCTTACGTGTTGTTAAATCCACAGCTAACTAACAAATTATCATGAACATCAAAATCAGATAAACTGCCTGAATGCGCCTCTACAGTGTAAATAATTTTTGAAATATTTCTTGGATCTCGAAGCTTTATTACTCCAGTAGGATCTCCACAACATACAGTTCTATTAGCATTCTGCCTTAATATAGCACATCCATTTTCTCCAGCATTTATTATGTTTGTTTCTTTACACAAATTTAGGTTAAACTCAATTAGCTTTTCTTGATGACCACCCATTAGTATAGTGTCTTGAGAACGTCCTAACTGAATTATACATTGCATTTCGTTTAAATATTCTGAACTGAAATTATAAAATTTTACATAAATAAATAGGTAGATTTATATTTACTTAAAGTTAAACTTTCATAAATTAGACATTGTATTAAAAATAAAAAACAAACAATAATTGTAAAATTGTGTATTCATTTTAAAATATCTAAAAAGAGGAAAATCATTTTTAAAAAATAAAAAAATATATTGTTATTAGAGTCTTATTTTAAAGTACATAGTAGTCATGGTSTAAACACATAGGTGGATCTACAGGTGTGCCGGGTGTGCCAAGGCACTCCCTAATATAAAGAGAAAAAAGCGGGTAAGTCGTGGATGTCACTCTGCTGTACAGTAGGTTACTGCATGTAATGGATGGGATTAAATTTGAATGCAATGATAGGTATCATTGTATACGAAAAACGATTCTGAACGGAGATGATTTGTCAGTCTAGGATATATT